TTGACGCCAATTTGTTATGACGTCACTCTTGACAACAATACAGAGCGCCATTTTCAATTGGTTTTTACTGCAATTTTGCCATTTGTTGCTATTATCTAGTAAGATATCATGACAAAAATTATATTAATAGTGTAACTATTTAAAAATAATAATGTATGCTGCATAGGTGGAACACACAACCACTTATTCTCCCGTCGCTTCATCTAAACTTGAAACTGAAAATCTACGCAGAGAATAGAATGTACAGTTAAGATTTGACAACGAGTGACTAAGAGTGACGTCTTCCCATGTGAAGATAAAATATTGAGTATATCTTCACTGCATTATAATATGTTTTTATCAAATGGAGAATTCATGATATTTCAGTAGTAAACTTTAAAAATTAAAGACATCGTAGGGTTTACTATCATATTTTTGAAGACAGTATGCGGCTTTAATTTCCCAGAAGGCTTTCACGCATGGGGAAGCGCCGGAAGTGGACAAAGTGTTTACAGATCAAACCCCGGTGGCGCTTCGCGCCGCTTCGGGCTTTGATTTTTGTTTTTAAGTTGTCAAGGACAAACGACTTTTCTCGTGACCTTATATTTATGCCCTATAGATACACTACATTTATGAACTATCTAACCATACAAACATATGTATAGACATGGCTTTCACAGTTACTTCACTTGCTATCGCCATCAATTCCAATAATATCCAAAAGAACAATCGAAAACTGATTTTGAATTAAATCAAAGAAACTGAATAATAGCATAATGATGAATCATGCAAAACATACCTTTCACTAGTGTATTAATACAAACAATAAAATGTTAGATGGACTCAATGAAGCTCAATTCAAATATTTTGTTTGATTTTATTTTACGTCCTATTAACAGCTATATGATCATTTAAGTACGCATCATGTTTCGGTGGTGAAGGAAAACCGGAGTACTCGGTGGAAAACCACCGACCTGCCCTACGCAGGCTTCAAACCACCTGCAGCCCAGTGGTTGAGGGCTAGAGATCAAAGACGGACAGACGCCTTAACCACTCGGTCACCGCGGCCCCTCCCTCAACGGAAAGTCTAATAATACCATCGGAAATAAATGATCAATTGATGGTGAACTGTATAAACGTTTCTCATAAAATGTACGAAACTAGTTCTCATGAACTGTGTGTTGTAACCACTTGTCTTGAACAGTATGAAAATAAAACAATAATGACTCGTTAAATGTACATTTTGTATGTACTCAATTATCATGAACTGTGTATAACCACTTCTTCGTTAACTGCGAGTAACAACTTTTCGAAAAACTGTCTGTAACAACTTTCCATGAACTTTATGTAACAGCTTTTCGAGAACCGTATGTAACCACGTCTCATGAAATGTATGTAATAACTTTTTTCTTAAACTGTGTGGAATCAGTTCAATCGTTAACTTTGTGTAACCATCTCGTGAACTAGATGTACATACCATGATTACCACGTCTCAAACACACTAACGAATATGCATGCATAGGAGGTCAGGTATATCACTATACAGTTGTCCTTGCAAGTAGGGCGTAATAATTTGACTAAATTTGGGATCTAATCTTTTATCCTCTTTCTGAACAACTTTCTTCTTCCTAATGTCTCCCTTGACAATGCCTCACTTTTCGTCTTTAGTTGAGCGTTCGCCCCTATGAGGAAGGCTTTGGGTTCTGTCCCCCGGCCGAGACATACCAGAGTCTGTACGACTGGTTCGCCTGTTGTCAGTATAATGTGACCGGGTGGGATGTCCTGCTGGGTGTCTTCGGCAGTATGTTTCAGTGAGTTAGAACTATAAAGTGGGCATCAGTTCCGCGCTATCACAAGGAGACAAACACGAACATATCGCAGCCTCCCAAACACACACAAGCATACACTACACGCATGCATCTTGCACAGAGGGGAGACCGTCCTTAAATGACCAAAGCTGTTGATAGGACGTTAAACAATATACAAAACAAAACAAAACCACTATACAGTATATGAAATATAGATTGAAGTATAGCACTACAGTAACACAACACGGTTGTTTTAACCGCAAGAACGAACTACTACAGTGTAGGTCATATGTGGTATCCTCGTTACAAATATATAAATGTGTGAATTTAGAGGATCAGTCGTGAAGTGTATCAACTTGTATCCTGAGAGCACAATAAACATGCATACATGTATAATCAAAGTCACCTTCAGTACCTACAAATCAGTAGTCATCATCACAGGGACCTGAGAAATTGTCGCACGGTTACAGCAGCTATGTTTGGACCTTCACTGTTTTGTTCAAAGTACTATTAGACGTTTATAGAATTAATGATAACAATAATTCGAGGTTCTTATATACCGCTTTATCACCTAGTTCGTAGGTCGTCTCAAAGCGGTTCACAAATTGTTATCCGTGGTTGCAACCAGGCAATATCTTTCTCAGCTCCCTGAGGAGCAAACAGTCGGTGCTGTCATTCGGCGCTCACAGCTAGCATTCAACAATTCCAGCACTGCCCAACCAAGTACTCATTTACAGCTGAGTAGACTGGAACAAGTGGAGTAAAGTATCTTGCTCAAAGATACAACACAGTGCCGTGACGCGACTCGAACCCGCAACCCTTCGGTCACGACCCCGGCGTCCTACCACTTGACTACTGTGCCTCTGAATGTATTACTGTATTAAGATCAACTCTCGGTAAATGGCACTCTCAATGATGGTATGCACTTGTATGTATATGTAAATACTATTATAAACCCCTAAAACCTCTACTGTTGATGAGCACATCATTTTAGATTCAAACATATAACTGCTGTGATCCTGCGACACATTGTCGGGTCCCTGTGTTCATTGTACATGATTAATAGCCAATTTTCAGTAACTTAGTGAAACAAATACAAAATGAAACAACTCCATCACAGTATATTGTCAACAATAAAAATGACTGGACTTAATGGTTTCCGCCGTCACATTTTATCCCAACAGAGGGCGCGCGTGTACTATAGGTTGTAACTCTCCTGTGTGGAGGAGCGCTCGCTATACATTCCTTGACGATCGTCAACAAACTAAGAAAACAGAATGCCACAATATTGTTGTGTACCTTTATGTAGTGGGTCAGGGGGGCATCGATTTCCGAAAAACGAATCGCTTTGTATGAAATGGCGTGTCGCTGTAAAGAGGATGGAGGAGAAAGGCAGAAAGTTATGGAAACCCAGTCCCGAAGATGTTGTCTGCAGGTTGCATTTCCGGGACATCGACTATAAAGAGACACTGTTAGGTTAGTATAGAACTGTGTCATGTCATTTTCTCCCGTTGGAGTGGAATAGTAGACAACCATGTGTAGGAGTTTTGAGAATAGATTTAAATTACGTGTAAAGAACAGTTCACCAAAATAAATGTTTTTTGCAAACGTTACACATCAGAATTAATCAACTTTTGTTTTAAGTGGTATCGACTGAATGTTTAAATGTCCACTGACATCTGTTGAAAAAATCGTAAATATAAGGTTTTAAAAAACTTTTACCAAAATGTTGCACATCATATTTGCCATAATTATTTTCCAGAGAGCAAATAAAAATTTGACTACAGGGGACATACAATAACTACTCATAAAAATATGTTGATGTCAAAGATTTGTAAAAATCATGTACAACCACTGATCAATCAATCTGTATTTTAAGAAGTTTTTCAAAACAATACATTTTTTCATAATCTTTTTATTAAGTTATATTGCTATAACATAATTTTGAAATAATGCAATAGACTGGTTAATATTAACTGACTCACTACCAAAGGACCGGTTACCAATAGTCCTTCCTGAAATATACTAGTCTCTGACTAGAGGGCTGGTGTATAAAGTGCCATACTCTGTGTAATTTAAGAAGTGCTGAACAATGACAGTGGCATTTATAAGGAATGGGATGGTAATTATGGCAAATATGGTAATATTGTATGAAAACTTTTTTTCCATTTTTTTTTGTCTCCCGATACAAACAGTCTTAGTTATTTTTGTTTCCTTTTGAGAATTAATAAACATGTTGACCTTTTGCTGGATTCATTTAGCATGATTACATGTAACTTTGGCTAAAACATTGTGAAAACCTAAATTTCCATTCCAAAATTTGATAAGAAATGAAAAAACTAAGATTCTGTATCAATTGTTATTTATTGCACATATCAACTATGAACATTTCACTCATTATATACAAATTGTCTTAATTAAAAAAAAATGAAAATTTGTCAATATCATATATTACATGTATATTTACAATATATGTATATACATATTCAGGACTGTTCAAAAGCTTATAAAATGACAATACAGTATATCACATTAATTTCAGTGCAAAAACAATTATAAAATTGAAAATACCAGTATACATGTGTTCAAAGGGACACAATATCTAGAAGTCTTGACAGCTGTAAATTTCTAAGTGAGAAGTTCACAGAGTTAAGAAAACTGTATTTGAAATTGTATTTTTTCGTGTTGCTTTGTGGTTTTTCTCAAATTTTTCTTCAGGTGTTGATTGGACGATGTTGAATCATCCCATGCAATTTGACATCTTCACATAGGACAATGGCTGGATGCTGATGCACACGTGATTTCCTGATTGGTTTGATGTAGTTAGTTGTTCAAATATAGAATGGCTTGTCATTGGTTTTACAATTTGATTTTGACATATATACCAAGTAATTTAGAATAGGATTAAAATTAAAATTAAAATTAAAATCCAAGATTGCATTTATAATTGTAATTACATGTACTAGGTAACGTGTTGTACACCATCTTATGATTAAATTACATCCATTTAACATTTATGATTGTAATTTCGATTTTAGATAGCAGAATCTTCAGTATAAAGGAATGCTGATGAAAAAAACACATTTTAGTTTCGATTAGGTATAAATTTACGAACAGTAGAACTTCATTGACATCACAATCTGTTACATGGCAGTTGAGTTCCCAATTATATATTTTGCACCAAATATTGCGCACATTCTCATGTCAAGAAACATGATTTCAGGTGAACGTGGCAGACTTAAAGAAAATGTAGTGCCGTCCATCTTCCAGTGGACACAGACCCCTAGCCCCAGAAGAAAAAGAGAGCCAAAACAACCAGATGATGCTACACAGGGCACCATACTTGAAGCCTACAATGGACAGCTAGGATCTGAGGTCACTGTGTCAACACACCATGAGTCGGCTGAACTGGTACCAGAACCAGAAGATTTGGAACCTCAAGCGGAGGGAACACAGTGTACAATCTTGGGGAGATGTACAATAGACAACTTCAGGGATAACCCCAAAGCTATCAATTATTACACTGGATTCACTGATTTCAACCACTTTATGTTCTTTTTCAACTGTTTAGGGCCAGCAGCAACTGATCTCATTCATCAGTTCACTTCCTTATCACCTCATGACCAATTCTTTTTGACAATGATGAAGCTTAGGCAGGCAAAGGAAGACTTTGAGCTAAGCATGATGTTTGAAATCAGTGAATCCAGTGTATCAAAAATCATTGTTACGTGGATTAACTTTATGTACTTTCAGTTGAAAGAATTATTTATTTGGCCCTCCCGTAGTACTGTTTCTGACCATATGCCGCAAGACTTTGGTAAGAAATTCAAAAACACACGAGTCATTTTAGATGCTACCTAGGTCCCGATTCACAAGCCATCCAATGTCAATGCACAAATAAAGCTGCACCTGGTCCAGTTATAAGCACAAAAATACTGTAAAAACTATGATTGGTTGTACGCCTAGGGGTGCAGTTTCTTATGTAAGTCCAGCTTATGGCGGATCAACAAGTGATCGTCATTTAATGGAAAACTCTGAACTACTGGATCCGAAACGTGACATGTTTGATAAGGGAGATAGTATTATGGCTGATACGCGTGGGTAAGTTTGGAAAACTGCCAAATCCAAACTAATGTGTAATATAACAAATCTCTCCCTCGGAACCATATTGACCTAAATACAAAAGGACATAATCTGTAGCTTCTAAATTGCTTCTTTTCATTATATCTTGATTACAAGTGCATATCCATGTCTTCCATTGTCCACTTCAAACTCTTGACCGCTCCACTGGCCATTGTGATGGTCATCGATCATGTAAATATAGCCTCGTTCATTTCAGGGGGTTTAGTTTACCCCAGTTCATACATGTCCATCTAATGCTCTGACCACTGACCCTTCCAATCTGTAGCCTGCGTTTAAGGTCCTGCCAACGCGTGTTTCGTCAATCGTGCTTGCTCTCCTGCTGGGGTAACTGACCGCCTTCTGTTAATACCGTCGAATCATATGTTCAAGGCCACGAGGTCAATTTAATGTGATAATTAATTAACTTTCTAAAGTTGTCCACAAAGATTCCGAGGACTTATTGATAGACTGTTGAATATTGAAATAAAAAGTCAATTTTGGAACGTTGATTAATGAAGATAGGGGTGGGCGAAAGAATCAATCTAACTAATTAACAGAATGATACCATTCTGAATGATTGTTTTGATAAAATAAAAAGAACGAGTATGTAAATTTAGCATGAACGGAGAAAATAGAGGTCATTGGGTCACAACGCCATTGTTTTTGTTTGACCCTAAAGCTGGACAACCCATGATTTACAAATGTTTAGTTTAGTTTAGTCTCTTAATAATAAAATATGGACTTTATTTGTTAAGGCATGTGAATCGTATTGCATCATTATCCTAACTTAAATGGGTTTTTATTGTATTGTTGAGTAACTCAATTTACTGATCATTGTTAACAGAATGATGTCAAGAGATTTAGAATCTTTGATTTAAAATTTGGGGGGATAATCAGACGCCAACAGTAGTACCTTGAAAAACAACAAGTAATCATCAATGCTGTATGTGAAGTTAAATTGTGAACGCAAATTTTCTATGTGAATTCGGCGGCGTAAGAATACACAAACGACAGGTTAGACGACAAGAAACAGTGTTCAGTTAGACCCCACTGAAAGACAGACACGTGTGACAATATTCCTCAACAAAACTCTACAAAACAGCTGTCGACAACTAAAAGTAAATGCGCTATTGATTCATAATTACATTGATTTCCATTTCATTTAACGGTTCTTTAATCATTGTCGTAGGAATCATTTTATATAAAAGTTAGGAGAAAATTGTACATTGTGTTCCTATGATGTGAACATAAACCAAAATGTCCCGTGAAAGTATTTAGAAAATGTGTAGACGAGAGAAAGCACAAATAAGTTCATTCATTGAATTATAGATATATTTCCTCTGAAGTTGAAAGTGTGAATTAAATACAAAGAGATCAAGGGTGTACACAGCTTCATATGAATAAACGAATTAATTGTTGTAACGTAGATGGTTACATTTAATCAAATAAGTTAAATAGTTTTTCTTATTCTTAATGTACACACTCTTCGAGCTCACCTACATGTATACTGTTGCACATTTCTCAATGCAAGGGGAGGCAACACCTACGACTTTTGGTAAAACTTTTGTTCGTAGTAGCACCTGGAACATGACTCCAATCTCAATGCACTCATTGTATCTCGAGAGCGGAACCCTTTGCTTTCGTCTCTAAGATCAGGGCTATTATTAATTAACCCGTTCTCATGCTCAAACTCAGAGTCTCTACCGAAGCCCAATTACTCGTTTAGATGATAAATTAATATAAATTCAGTGTTTGTGCCTTATTCGAGGAATTTTGAAAATATTTCAAACTAAATACTGTTTTTTTTTTACATGTACTTTTTTATCGTTAACGTATCACATTATTTAAACGAGTAACAAGAAAGTAGGTTTGAACACAGAATCTATGCTTGAGAATGAAAACGATTTGGTGAATCAGGGTTCAGTTGTTGACTCGGAGATCAAAGAGAAATTATTTAAAACACTTGACATATTATACGATTATCAATAGATTTGTAATCCAATTTAAACTTTCACAGTTTACATAATTATAATGTAGTTACATCAGATATCAGTGCCATCCGAAACCCAAGACACTGGTCCGTTTTGATCACTGCTATGGCAAGCCAATTTAACATTTATTCAAGGAGAAATATGTCGATCCTGTATTTCATCGAATGATAGAAGATATCGTATATAATTATATAAGATATTTCATATTCAATAGAGATATCTCATACATTTTTGTGAGATATCTCATATAAGTATATAATATCATTTATACTATATGAGATATCTTATAAGATATCTATTTTTTTTTCAATATAAGAAATCTTTTTTTTTTTTCTATATATAAGATATATCATATAGTATATAAGATATATAACATACTATATGAGTTATCATATATACTATTTAAGATATCTTATATAGTACATAAGATATCTCATATGCTATATAAGATATCTTATATAATTTTTTGAAATACAGGATTGGCATTGCTCCTTGAGTAAATGTTATGTTGGCTTGCCATACACTGCCGTCCATTTGGCCCCTCATTAACGACTGTATCAGAAAGGTTTGTTATCCTGTCATAATACCACGTACGTGGTGCGTATTGGGCTTGAATATGCTTCACTTCGTACTGTATGAATATCAAAATAATCTGATGTTTGACTTTGGAAATGGTTACGAATTCGTTATCAGTTCTATATTTCCATGAACGTTATACATTGTAGCTCTTCGAAATAAACGTGTACAAGAATAAATAATGTGTACAAGCCGAGGTTAGCCGAATGATGAAGGGTATCGGAATCAGCCGAGATTAGTCGAATGAGTGCAGAGAGACATTCCTCGTTCACGTTGCACATAATCATTTCTTTCCTTATTATTCAGTTTGATATATCTTGCTAAATTTGACCAGTCTTTCTTGTTTACTGTTTCCATAAATTAAATAAACTTGTACATGTACTAGCTGGGTCTATTGTAGTAATATTTCTTAATAAAACATTTCCTTATATAGATTTGCATTCACATTTTAATATTCAATGAAAACCATCTTCGATGTACTCACTGTTTCTGTATGCATATGTACTTTTAATCCCTTTCAAATAAGTATGCTAACTAATTTCAATATGAATTTATGAGAAGAAAGTCAAATATTTCTTTTATGTTTATCACGAAGTATGAATCAGTGTTGTATAGAAGCTTGAACTTAAATGTACTTAAGTTGTAAACATATATTGAGTGCAAACGTTTCTCCGAATATAAATATATTCTTTTAAGTGAAGTCGTCGTCATCATCGTCGTCGTCAATGTTGTTTGAGTTTTCAGTGTTTTCTGAACCCTTGACAACGTGGTACATGTGTAATGGTACAAAAGGGTTAACCCTATACATAGATATATAACATGCAACTTTCAGATACCCGTGGACGTCCATTTAAAATAAATGAAGAGATTGCTAGGTAGCAAACAAATTTAAAGGGAAAGTAAAAGTCTACTGACTGTACAAACATATCTGACCTCGAAAACTGACGCTGTAGACAGGTTTGTAACCGAAAGCGTCAGAGGAAATTCACCTACATGTATGTTGAAGCCTAATTATTTAAGACACTGTATGTATTTAAAAGCGGTCGTCTGGTTTTGATAAGAAAACGGTCTTATCAGGAACATTTTGAAAATAAAAAAAAACCAATTCAATCGCATGATATATTAATCTATCACATAATGTACTGTGTTATCATGTAAATATACCCATGTCATATATATATATATGTTGCGTATTAACTCATGTAATATGACCTATCAGTCGTATGATTGGTTGTAAGCTTCAATTGTTTCAATTGTGAAGTCACGCCTAGGACAAGTACATGACGTCACAGACTTACGCACTGGAGTCAAAATGGCGGCTTTTTACAATTCAAAGTTGCATGAAAATCGTCGTTTTACATTAATAAATGCCACAAATCTTGATTATGTGATAAAAAGGATTGATGAAATTCGTCACGAATTTTTAATTTTAGCTCGCCACAGGCTTGCTTAATTGAAAGAAATCTTAGACTCGTTTCATAAATCTCATATGACATGGAAACTTATGAAAGATCCTATATATCTCGGATAAATGATAGAATCTTTTTTTTTTAATTTATATGTGAGAACAAGAGCTTGTTATAGTCATTCGTACGATTTCCTTCACGAACTAAAGTAAGGTTTTCAAAATGAATAAACAGATATAATCACACATAGGTCTAAAAGTACATCCATGACTTATGTGCATCCATATATCGAACGGGTTCAATGCCAAGGTATTTCCTTAGGCACATCCAGAAGAAAAGAAACGTTCTAGAATTACTTTTCTTACACCATAAATTGATATACCTTGATAATGAAAAAACAACCACGTTGAGATGATACTGAACTTCCACTGGTTGAGTTACAGCATCGTACCAAAAGTATTTACTATTAACCCAGATTTGTTCATTAATTCATTGTATGTTAACATTAAGAGGTTCATTGTTGTACATTAACATTATGGAGTTCATTGTTGTATGTCAACATTATGGGGTTCATTGTTGTATGTTAACATAATGGGGTTCATAGTTGTATGTTAACATTATCGGGTTCATAGTTGTATGTTAACATTATCGGGGTCATTGTTGTATGTAAACATTATGGGGTTCATTGTTGTATGCTAACATTATGGTGTTCATTGTTGTATGTTAACATCATGGGGTTCATTGTTGTATGTTAACATAATGGGGT